CCCCCCTTTTTTTACATAACCAGAATGGTGTAGGTACAAGGGGTGATATTACATGAACGATACTTGGGTATTTGCTAACAGTTTCTGGGACTGCTGTATTTTTCTATATTCGTTGTACTGTTGTTGGAAGTTAGAGTGGCAATGTTCTGGCTTTATCTCACGCCCCAAATTTTCTTAAAGTTTTGCTAGTGGCTATGTATAGATGCATTGCTCAATCTAACAGTGCTGTTGATGTATTACTTGATACAATAAGGGAACTCCATCTCTATGCTTTACAACATTGTATATGTTTGAATTTAATATATTCATCGAGGGTATGTGGTCTGAATTTAGAGAGGGCAAAAATGGGATTCATCACAGTTGTTAAATTATTCTATTGTCAAAGGGCCTTTCTCCAAGCTGCAGAAACTCCTTCATAAAGCTTGTACATTCTAAAAAGTTCATGCCATCTTGAGGAAGTGGCTATTGGTTTCTCCATTAAGATAGATCTCTGTTAACTCGGCCCATCTGTCACTGTCTGTGGCATCTTTATTAGCTTATTCTGCCTGGGTCATGGATGGCTGCTTAACTGAAATCCCTCAAGTACATCAGTTTTTATTTTAGCAAATTCTACTATGTCCTTGGAATCATAATTTATCTTTGATATTGCTCCTCCATAGGGAGGCATTAAGAGTTGTTCTAATAGTCCCTGTTCTCCAATTAGCGCTAGTTACGTTAGTCGTTATTTTGTTCATAACAATTGATATTACTTTGTTTGTAACGTATATTGCATCTTCATGTGAATATCGTTATCCTTTCCAGGATTAAAGGTTTTCTGATCCAGAGTTATTAACGTGACTTAAACCTTTAATCTGTCTAAATGAAAAAACACCATTTGCTTGCAAGGAAGTTGCTATAAAAGCATAAAGCTGAAGGAAATTGAAGTAAAGGCAACAAAAATACTTCACTTCTCTTAGATTTATTCCTGTACATCGTTTGATGATTGACTTAGTGCTACCAGAGGAGTCGAATTTGTAATTGGTCCTCAGGTCCAAATTCTAATATGCATCTGGTGACCTCCCACTGCAGGAGCACCAGATTTCGTGAGACTCCTATGTCAAAAGTCAATGGTGGTAATCTTCCAGTCTTCATTCTTAATTACTGGTTGATTTTGACAGAGGTAATGCTACCTTGCTTTGCATCTTTGTTTTTTTGTCAATACTGTTGAACTCTATAAACACATTGCAACTTATGTTGGACTCGGAACATGTGACCAGGATGAATAGGCTATAGCCTGTATCATACCTTAAGTAGGAGTAGTTGAGGTGCTTCAGGAGTTGTTTTCATTTTTATATGCTGGTGCATTTTTTGGTTTGTGAATATAAAGTTTACCTGGTAATTGACTTGTCAAGGTCTACCGCTTTCGATTTTCGAATAATCAGCCTGGACCTAGTTAAGTATGCTCTTATTACCATCAACCTCTTCCACCATTGTCCAGTAAGATCCCCCGATACATCTCAAGTGGTTTGTTATAAGTGCTTTGCTTGGTCTGAATCATAAACCAATACAAGTGTGTTTGACTATCAAAATTGATACTATATAACATTATTTATTAAAAATAATCACTTTCACTCACTAATAGTTTGTTATTAACTAGTATAATCCCAATAACAAACAATGATTTTGCTTAACAGAATTGTTAGACTACTGCACTTGTCACTCATCTCTTATATCAAGTTTCCAAAGAGGTTTCAATGGTTGGTCCTGTCACTCCAAAGTTTTGGTTAGATACTCAGATAATCTGAAGCATGTGCGAGCACTATTTGTCAACTAATTTGAGAAGCATGCGTAAGGTTTGATGCAAAAGGTCTTGTTGATATTGTATTCTGTCATTTTTACTTTGACTGACTTCTTGAGAATTGAACTTACAGTTTCACAGGTTAGATTGACGAGTCTTTTCATCAGTTTTTCATTTGAATCATCAATACATAGAGTACATTGACCACAGTACTGTCGAACTAAAAGAATTCTGCCATTGAATTATGATCGAAATGTGTAAAAAAGGATGTTAATAACCGTCAGTTTTTAGATTCTTGAAAACAAACAACTCATATTCTTTCATTTGGGTCTTTACTTACGTCAATCTGTACTTGGGTGACGCACCTACAATCTTAGTCTATCCACCTTTGCTCCACTGCCCAACGCCCCATAGCTCAAACACCCTGATGTCTCTTTCAAAATTCCTGGACATGGGAATTCAGAGGTGTGGAAGTTGATATACACCACCTTTTCTCAGGAGAGCAAGTTGCCAGAAAATCTGGGATTTTCAAGTTTTCTTTCCCTTTTTTTTTGTGCTTGTTTTTGACATTTCAAGTGGCCCATAAAGGTCAATTCTTATGTCACATCTCAGATCTTATCCCTGATGATATCTCATCTGGTTGACATCTCTTGAGTAATCCACATCCTGTTACAACCATACAGCATAATTATTAGCAATTCCATCATAAAGGTTTGATATTTCAAAAAGAATAAAAGGAAAAATAGAAGTAATTATTGTAGTGTGTGCATATGGTCCACTGGTTATTTGGTGATAGAAATAGCTAAACTTTTCTTGACTGAGTGTCTACCAGAAACAAGTGTTCTTATCTTCGGAAGATAGGTAGGGATAAGGCTGTATACACATTAGTCTCTCCTTGACTTCACTTGTGAGATTATACTAGGTTTATTGTTGTTGTTTAGAGATAGCTAAACTTATACTTTTCAAGTATCGAAATGGATACACCACTTTTGAAAGAATCAAAAGTTGTAGCATAGTTGCTTCATGTTAAAGGGTTGAAATCGTCATGCACTTGACTTTACTCATGCATCATTAAATGGTATATAATAAAGATTTTTATCTGAAGCAATACATGTGTTTTCTATTGACTATAAAACTTTGACAATCCTTGGACCTCTTAATCCTACTCCTGTTACTGATCTTTAGTCAAAATGACCCCATCAAGTCTTTCTTTTAATAGTGGGAAAGTTGGCCGAGTTTATAATTAGAAGATTTACCTAGGCATGAAAAGATTACTATGACTATATATAGGATTTCTTTAGTTGACAAAAGGGTAAGAAATGTCTATTTCTCTTACAAAAAGTTGTTTGCTGTCACTTCCCAAAGTTAAAATAGCACTTCCTCCGTTTCATTTTCTTTTATATGAATATACTTGAGAAACGAAATTTTCCGAAACTTATGGTTTTAAACATATCATGATATTTGTGTAGCTATAAAATTATGTCACTAAAAGTAAAATACGAAGTTTAAACTTAATTATTTTTAAATATAAAAATATATTATTATTTTTTGAAATAAATTAAAAGGAAATAATATCAAACAAAAGAACAAAAAGTTTAGTAAACTAGCTTAATAGCCTGTTTAGCCAAGCTTCTTAGGGCTAAAAGTGCTTCCTCTTTTTTTTCACCAAAAAATACTTTTTTCTCATAAGTTTTTGATATGTTAGGTGTGATTTCTATTTATTCTTGAGGAAGAAGAGAGTTTGATTTGATTGTAAATAGAGGTCGACCAGCAAAGTTGACTATATAGTATGCCTTTTTTCAAAAGATAGCTGGCCAAAGCTAATTCATTTGACTCATCAATCTAAATATCTTTTGGGTCGGGTCCACGGAGCAGACCCAAGTCGGTCTTCTGCAACTGCAAGGGTTGATGTGTTAACACACTATTTAAAGATATGACACTCTTAGCAATCATTCTATTGATGTTATTCCCAAGGTGTACGATTCCAGACATGTGGAAAACACAGAAAGTAGATGGTAAGAAGACAAGGAACGCGAAAGAAGAAAAGAAAATTTTCCTTTTATTTCTGCTAAAACGGAAGGAAAGAAATAGAGAGAGTGAAGGAGAGTATTATTTTCTAGAGATCCCACAAGAGAAAAGAGAATTTCACCTTAAACCAAACAGGGGAATTAATGTATTAACAAATGTTATTTTAAAAATAAACTAAGGAAAAATATCATATAAAATAGAATGCAGGAGTAATATCTACAATGCTGTTCATTTAACAGCTTAATCATTGTAGTTCAAGATGTTTATCTCTCGCGAGTCGAAATTTCTGTTGTATTAAAAATTTCCACTCCTCATTTAACATTCCAGTTCGGTACTATTTTCTCAAATAAACTTATCTGTCGTTAGGTTTGAAGATAAGTTAGGTTGGATTAGCCATGCAAAAATTAGTTATCCCAGTATTATTATTATTTTTTATTGACTGTTTGATATGTTTATTAATTTTGAAATTATCAATTTTATTGTTTTATCGTGGGATAACTTATCCTAAGTTATCCTAGAATTATTGTTCCACCCCCTGATCGGTATATATTATCCTGATACTATTTTTAATCATGCCTTTATCTCAATATTAATAACCAAACAAGAGATAAAACGATACTAAATTTTTATCCCATGAATATTTTTACTTATCCATCATTAATTTCTACAGGCGTGGAACTAAAAGTAGGGAGGAGAAAATAGCTCACTACAAGTTCCAAAACAGCTTACTTGATTTCAAATAGTAGCAAATTTGATTTCTATGACGAAAGAAATTACTTGTTCAACTAGACTACTTATAAATTGTGAGATATTTATATATGTTATGAATAAAATTGTAATCAGAGTGAATGTCTTTTGTAGAGAATTTTACTTTGTGGTTAAGTTATTTTTTTCCTATAAATAGAGGGGTTTTACCCCGTTGTAAATCATCCCAAAATTCAATAAGAATTACTCTCTCTTTCTCTGCAATATTGTTCTTCTTCTTTATTATTTTATTACACGTTATCAGCGCGAAACTCTACCGTCTCAAGAAGCTTTTTGAGAAGATTAAGGTATAAGATTTCTCCTCTTTTTAATTATGACTGACATTATGAAAAGAAAGTTCGTTGCCCTTGAAATTTCGGGCAAGAACTATATGACATGGGTGTTGGATGCTGAAATCCATTTAGATGCAATGGGTCTTGGAGACGTCATTAAAGACAAAAATAAAGCATCCACCCAAGATTGTGCTAAGGCCTTGATTTTCTTGCGTCATCACCTTGATAAAGGGTTGAAAATAGAATATATCTCACAGCCAAAGATCCACTTGTTCTGTGGAACAGCTTAAATGAAAGATATGACAACTTAAAGTTGGTCTAGAGATTTAATTTGCTATGAATCTGTCACTATGGACTGTTCCGTTAACTGATAATTACCTAACCATGGAAAGCCATTATAAATTCAATATCATACTTGGAATGAATATTTTTAAGATTCTGCACTAGACTCTTATCAATCCCATCATCACTTGTAAGTGGAGTTTAATTTTCTTCTCCAGAAAATTGAAGGTATGTAGTCTCCATATCTATGTGTTGAATATACATTGACAGAAGCGTAAAATTGTCTAGTGGTTCAAAATCATAATTTTTAGTGAAGGTATAAGTGCATATGTTGACAGCATATTGAACTACTAACGAGATTCACCTATTTGCACATAGCAAACCTTTAGTAGTGTTTCATGTTTGGTTAAGACTCTACTAGTTCACAATTGTAGTATTTTCCAAAAGTATTACTACCATATTAGGAATCCAGAAAAGGCAATAAGCAGCCAACTAATTTCTTTACTCAGTTTTACAATCCAATCATACATGCTTTGATTAATAGTGATTGGTGAACCGTGTGATATTCTGAAGTGGTCTCTTCATTTCTCATATTAAAGGAATTTTACATTTGTACTAACTTGTATTTTAATAAATAATAAGTTATGAAACTTAACAAAACAAATTGTACTAATTTCAGTATATATAAAAATTCATTTTCTGACATCAGTATCTTCCACAATTTAACCTTGGCATGATGAAACTAATGATGCATGAGATTTAATTATGAATTGTTGGTTCGTTTAATTATTGAGAAGATTAAGAAAATATGGATATCTCTCAAAACAAACTTGGATCAAAGTTTAATTGTAAAAATATTTGTGTAGTTGATTCATATACGACACATACAATATTAAAAGAAGAAATATTTCTCTCATTTAAGTATGTGTAAGGCAGATGTTACTACAGTTTCTGGTAGTAGTAATTAATTGAAAACTCTGGAAGAGCTACTATAACTCTGCCTACGGGAACAATACTTATCAGAAAGAATGCAATGTTCTCCTCCAAGTTCAAGAGGAACTTGTTGAGTTTTAAAGATATCCACCGAAATGGATATCATATTGAAACAATAGATAAGAATAATTTTGAATATCTCATCATTACCAAGAATGTCTCTGGCCAGAAAAGGGTTATTGAGAAATTCTCATCTTTATCTTGTGGCCTGTATTGGACAAGAATTAGTGCAATTGAGGCACATTCTACCGTAAACTAAAAGGTTACTGATTCCAATACTTTTGTAGTTTGGCATGACCGATTGGGACATCCTGGATCAATTATGATGAGACGAATTATAGAAAACTCAAATGGGCATCCATTAAAGAATTTAAAAATTCTTTCAAATAATGAATTTTCTTGCACTTCTTGTTATCAAGACAAGTTAATTATTAGACCATCACCAACAAAGGTTGGGATTGAATCCCCTGCGTTTTTGGAACGTATACAAGGGGACATTTGTGGACCTATTCACTCACCTAGTGGGTCGTTTAGATATTTTATGGTCTTAATAAATGCATCTTCTAGATGGTCTCATGTGTGCCTATTGTCATCTCGCAACCTTGCTTTTCCAAAATTAATGGCACAAATAATTCGATTACGGGCACAATTTCTTGATAATCCAATTAAGTCTATTAGACTTGATAATGCTGCTGAGTTTTCATCCCAAGCATTTAATGATTATTGCTTATCAATTGGGATAAAAGTGGAACATCCTGTAGCTCATGTTCACACTCAAAATGGCCTTGCAGAGTCTTTAATTAAACATCTGCAATTGATAGCAAGACCGGTACTCATGAAAACGAGGTTGCCCACTTCTGTTTGGGGTCACGCCATTTTGCATGCAGCAATGCTAGTTCGTCTCAGATCGACAAATTATCATAAATATTCTCCGTTGCAATTAATTTTGGGTCATGAACCTAATATATTCCATTTAAGAATTTTTAGATGCGCAGTATATGTGCCTGTAACACCGCCATATCGCACCAAAATGGGTCCCCAAAGAAGGTTAGGTATATATGTTGGGTTTGAATCGCCCTCCATTATTCTCTACCTCGAAACACTAACGGGGGATTTGTTTACTGCACGATTTGCAGACTGTCGATTCGATGAGACACTTTCCCCAAAATTAGGGGAGAAGTTGGTGAAACCAAATGGAAAATTTTGTGAAAAAATCCATCATTGTCTCATCTTGATCCACGTGCCTCTATTTGTGAAAAAGAGATACAAAAGATTATCCATTTGCAGAGAATAACAAATCAAATGTCAGACGTATTTACGGATCTGAAAAGGATAACAAAATCACATATCCCTACAGAGAATGTTCCAATCCGTATTGATGTCCCTGTTGGACAATCTTCTAGTGTCATAGCTAATGAGTCAAAAGCACGCCTAAAACGTGGCAGACCATTGGGTTCTAAGGATAGACATCCTAGAAAAAGGAAAACAAATTATCAAAATGACACAACGAAAGAGCCTTATGAAGAAATCCACGATTTAACCAGTCCTGATATTCATGAGGAAATCACTGAGCCTGAGACTCAAGAAAATAAGGAACTATCAATAAATCCAAACGATATTAAGACAAATTTGAATCGATTGGATATAGTGGTGGATTATGTCTTTGCTTATAATGTTGCATCTAGCATTATGCAAGATAGTGAGGATCTTGAACCTCAATCTATTGGAGAATGTCGACAAAGATGTGATTGGCCAAAATGGCAAGAACCAATCCAATCAGAGTTGAGTTCACTTGCGAAACGTGAAGTTTTTGGCCCTGTAGTCCAAACACCTAATAGTGTTAAGCCTGGTGATTATAAATGGGTCTTTGTACGCAAGATGAATGAGAAAAATGAGGTACAAAGATATAAAACACACCTTGTTGCACAAGAATTTTCACAAAGGCCTGGTGTCGATTATGAAGAGACATATTCACATGTTATGGACGCTATAACGTTCCGTTATCTCATTAGTTTTGTTGTCCATAAAAAGCTTGACATGCATTTAATGGATGTGGTTACCGCTTACCTTTATGGCTCACTTGATAATGAGATATACACGAAAATTCTCGAAGAATTTAAAATGCCTAACACAAATAATTCAAAGTCCCGGAAAATATTTTCAATCAAATTGCAAAGATCTTTGTATGGTCTAAAACCAATCAGGACGAATGTGATATAATCGTCTTAGTGAGTATTTATTAAAGGAATGCTATATAAATGATCTCATTTGCCCATGTGTTTTTATAAAGAAAACATCGGAATTTGTTGTACTTGCCGTATATGTCGATGACATAAACCAAATTGGAACTCCTACAGAACTCCAAAAGGCAATTGATTATTTAAAAAAATAATTCGAGATGAAAGATCTCGGAAAGACAAAATTATGTCTCGGTTTGCAAATTGAACATTTGGCAAACGGAATTTTTGTCCATCAATCTGCTGACATAGAAAAGGTATTGAAACGTTTTTACATGGATAGAGCACATCCATTAAGTACTCTGATGGTTGTTCGATCACTTGATATGAATAAGGATCCATTCCAACCTCAAGAAGAGAATGAAGAGCTACTTGGTCCTGAAGTACCATATCTTAGTGCAATTGGTGCACAAATGTATCTTACTAATACTACAAGGCATGACATGACTTTTTTAGTTAATGTCTTAGCAAGATATAGCTTTACTCCTACAAGGAGACGTTGGAATGGAATCAAACACATATTACGGTATCTAAAAGGAACTAGCGATATGGGCTTATTTTATGGCAATAATTGCAGTCCCGATTTTGTTGGTTATGCTGAGCTGGGTATTTATCTTCCACACAAGGCTCGATCTCAAACAGGTTATGTATTTACCTGTGGAAGCACTGTCATATCTTGGCGAACGACTAAGCAATCAATTGTAGCTACTCCATCTAATCATGCTGAGATAATTGTTATTCATGAAGCAAGTCGAGAATATGTGTGGTTGAGGTCTATAATACATCTTATTCGAGACAAATGTGGTTTGAAATGTGACAAATTACCCACGATTTTATATTAAGACAATACAGCATGCATAGCCCAATTGAAGGGAGGATTCATAAAAGGAGATAGGACAAAATACATTTCACCAAAGTTATTTTTTACTCATGATCTTCAAAAGAATGGTGATATCAATGTGCAACAGATTCGTTCAAGTGATAATATAGCTGATTTGTTCATCAAGTCTCTATCGACGTCAACCTTCAAGAAGCTAGTGTACAAGATCGGGATGCGAAGGCTCAAGAATGTGAAATGATGCTCTCATTAGGGGAGTTTAATATGCGTTGCACTCTTTTTTTTCTTACAAGGTTTTGTCCCACTGGGTTTTCCTTGCAAGGTTTTTAACGAGGTAACCAAAAGGCGTATTGTTAGATATGTGTACTCTTTTTCCTTTTCTAGAATTTTTTTTCCCATTGGGTTTTATTTTAGTTAATGTTTTAACGAGGCACGTTACTTATTGAGTAGACATTCAAGGGGGGTGTTATGAATAGAATTGTAAATAGAGTGAATGTCTATCTTGTAGAGAGTTT